GGGAGGTAAAAACTAGAAACTTTAATTTTAATGTGGTTTTAGTGACCCTGATTTTTTTTTCTGGTTTTATGTGATCTGTTTATAACATGGAAGAATCAAACCTGCTGTGATACTGTGTTCATTCACCTGTTGTTGATGACTGGCTCAGTGTAACTGCTAAACATCAAACTGTAATACAGTTTGATTATTCACTAATCTACATTAAAACCTTGTGTAGTTTAGTTCCTGTGGTGTTTTATAGATAAAGGTCTGGTGTGGTCTTAATGAACGTTGGTCCAACAGTGAGATGAACTACAGAATGTAAATGTGTTGGTTTCTTCAGTCTTCCCTGCTGGTGTTGTTATCCGGATTATGGGAATACTGCTCCTCCTGACTGTCTGCTTCTCTGCAGTCTTTATCTGGAGGAGAAAATATAAAGGCGAGAAATATGAAACACATTTACCTTCAACATGTTGCCAACATTTTGATGTTTATGCTCTTATAATTTGATATGTTTCATGTCTGTTACTTTCCATGTGATAAAGTTCATAAAGTGTAAATATTTGATATTTAATGAGCTGAAATGTTTCATGGAAGTGGTGCAAATGGCTACTTTTTTTTCTCATGTGCTTCATATGTTCTGAATAAATAACTGTATTACTGTCTCTGTTTTTTCAGAGCTATACTGACAGTAAGTATTTTACATGTTCAAACTGGATTTAAGAAAAACAATTCTCAAATTTAAATGCTTTAAACTGTTTGAGACTTAAGATGTTTAAAAGATTTCTGTGTGTGATTCAGTGCAGCTTTAGAAAGAATTGCTCATCTCAGCTTTGCATGAAGAGAGCCTCGTCCCAGAATTCACCTGCTTTCTGCATACATGCTACTACTGCACATTCACCTAATGTATGTATTACATATAATGTTCTACCTCTACCTTTCTGCTGCAACAAGATGTAGAAACTGCAAATAATACAAAAAGTTATTTGGTTTTAATTTGCAAGTCAAATTCAGTTTACATAAAGTATTTGCACTGTGAACCTTTAGTTTTACTGTAGTAGCTCTCAGACAAAGACTTTGAAAAAAAATTAGTTTCTCCTCCTCAGTGAAGGTCAAAATATTCTTGTTTTTAATTAGTATTCAGTTGTAAACACGCTCTCTCTCACTCACACACACACACACTGTGTCATTGAAAAATAAAAGTAATTAAACAAGCAGCAGACTTTGATTTGCTCACATACAATGATGCTGATGTAAAACGTAGTGATGGGATTTCTGGCTCTTTTTAGTGAGCCGAGCCGAAAGAGCCGGTTCTCTGAAAAGAGCCGGCTCTTTCGGCTCGCAACCGGTTCTTCAGGTTGTTTTGTTGCCTTAATTAATTTATTATTAATAACAATATAAAATTATGCAAAAAAACATGGTTTTATTTATATATGTTTATATATA